GCCGGACGGCCAGGGAGGACGGTCCGGGACCACCGCTACCACCGGCGTGCTGCCTGGCCGGCTCGGTGCTGGCGTTCCCGGGCCGGAGCCGTCCTTCCCAGCCCCGCGGTTGCCGGGCCGTGCCTGCTTCTCCCCAGCATAACGCCTCTCTCCTTGGAGCAGCCTGGAAGCATGGCGGGCCGCAGAGCTGCCATCAAGGCCATTGACTGGGCAGCCTTTGCCGAGAGAGTGCCCCCCAACCAGAGGGCCATGTTCAACGCCCTGAAGACCCGCAGTGACGCGCTGTCGGCCCGGTGAGTGCCTGCCCAGCTCCTGTGTGGGGGGCAGTTCAACCCATTCGGCATCGGCTTTTGGCGGGGGGGGGCGGCTTGAGCCGGTGCTGGTAACTGTAGTCTTGCAGCAGTGTTCTGAGAGGCATTAAAGTGTGTCACCTTCAAGACAGCTGGTGGCCTTTTTTGGCAAATCATCTTTAGTTAATCCTGCCTGGAGTAAAACAATAGCCGCAACATAAAAAAGCAGTTTGCTTTGGCATGTTCAAAACGTTTTGCAAGCTTTGTTATTCTGTTAAATGCTGTACATACAATACAAATTCATGAGTCTTCTCAAATGCTTCAGCTTCTGCTGCTTGATAGAAATGTTGTTGGCTGTTACAGTTAATGTTGCTGATTGCCTCTAGCTTAGTATTGTGAAAACTGCCTAATCCTTTCTTACAGGAATGAACTCGGAGATGCCCTGTAGTAGTTTGAAGTGGAGCAGGGCTGCAGGCTGAACACTTCTTGTCTGTATAGCGAAGTCTGTTTCAAGAGCAGAGAGATCTGCAGAAATGGTTCGTCTCTGCTTGTTAATGATGGACCTGAAGACTTTTAAACTAAACTTAGTGGGCTCTGTTGACACTCTGGAAAGTAACTGTGGCAGAGAGCACAGGGTTGCTTCTAGCACTGGCCATGACTGCTCTTCTCCATCTCTTTAGGATGGCTGCCTTGCCAGAGAAGCCCCCAACCATTGACTGGGCTCACTACAAGGCTACTGTTGCTAAAGCTGGCATTGTGGATGAGTTTCAGAAGAAGGTAAGTGTCTTTGTCAGCTGGGTATTGCTTTTTGGAGGTTTAAATGGAGAATGGAGAAAACACCAGAACTGGCAGAGGAGGTTGGTTTTGGCTAGCAGGTGCCCCAGCTTCACACCCCGCAGGTTGGCATTGCTAACCTCAAGGAAGTCACTTCAGTGCCATCTTTCAGAGGAAACCTATGGCACTGTACCATGACAAAGCTGCTGAAAGAAAACTTGATAAATTATTTTGGCTGCAGGGGTGAATTCAGGTAGTGCCTCTCCTGAAGCAAAGGTTTGAAGTATTTCTCTAACTCACTGAATGAAAGAAGGTCGCAAGTGTGGCTCTGCATACTGTGAAATGTGCAAAAAGCTAGCTGATGCCCGCAGGGGTTGCCATTCTTTTTATAAGCAGGAATTGAAAAGCGTGAGCAAGGCTTTTGCTGAAGGGCATGTGGTGTCACTGGCACTATGAAAATTGGCCTCCCAAGGCTGGGAGGACCCAGTGACCTCAGATGGATCTGGGAGTTTTGTTTTGGGGGAAATAAGCCTGCGATATGATAAGTCTTTGGTATTAGACTGTCTTGCTTCCTCACAATGCTGTGCTTTGCTGTTCACAGTGCTGTGATGGATGTGTGTAGTTATTTACGTGTCCTGATGGTAGTATACGCTGGAATAGATTGCTTTAAGCTCACAGGTGAGCAGTGCTGCTTGTGAAGGACATTGTCAAGCTGCAGTGATCAGTTTTAGAAAGCTCGTTAACTTACACTGTTGTAAGCATATCCTAGGAAGAAAGGAGGTAATGTTCCCCTGCTGCTGGGGAAAATGACGTTGGTGTGAACGATAATTTCAATCAAACAAACTGCATAAAAGGTCTTTGTCTTTCAATTAACAGTTCAGTGCACTAAAGGTTCCTGAGCCAGTGGATACACAAAGTGCCAAAATTGATGCCCAAGAGCAAGAAGCTGTAAGTGTTTAAACTGTTCTCTCATGCTGGGATTGTCTCTGACTTCTGTGAGGATGGGAAGGGATATTCTGTATGTACATCTGCACAGGCAGGGCAGCCTGAGCTGGAGCATGGCTCTGGTTTTCACATGCATCTCTAGCTTTTGGCTAAGCAAGAGGATCTCTGCATGCAGAAAGGTTTGGCTACCTGGGATTTGATCAAGATTCTGTCCACTTACCTCGTGTAATGATGATGAATATTAGTGTCAGCTTAAAGCATGGGGTTGCAGGTTAGCTCTAGGTCACTGTCTGTATCATAACCATATTAACCACATCCTCTGCTTTCCTGCAGGCAAAGAGTAGTGCTGAATATGTGCAGGCTTCCAAAGCTCGTATTGCCCAGTACGAGCAACAAGTAAGTCTTTTGCTAGTGAATGTTCTCTTTAACCCAGCCTGGCACACACCTTGTTGATGCCTTTGTGTGTGCTTTGCTCTTTCTTGCTGACAAGTGACTTGTGTTTGTCTTTGCTCCCCCTTCAAGCTTCAGAAGCTCAGAAGCATGATTCCCTTTGACCAGATGACATTTGAAGATTTGAACGAAGCCTTCCCTGAAACCAAACTGGACAAGGAGAAATACCCGTACTGGCCCCACAAAGCGATTGCTGATCTGTGAACTTGACCGGAAGCAGTTTGTCTAATTACTGTCTGACTCTGTGGTCTTTTAAATAAAGTACTTTCCTTCCTGTCTGTGGCTTAGATCTTAGACATGAGGTTGCAAGGTTTTGAGAAACATGGAACAGTACACTAACTTGCAAATAGCCCCGTTTTCCTGTATTTTGTCTTTTCTACCTGTGAGTTTGGTTTTGTAGCAAGGACCAAGATCCCAGCTAGACCTGTTGATAAAGCTGAGTCCTTCTGTAATGCAAATAACTGTTCACCTCTGTAACCACGTGGTGCAGGGAATGTAGTTCTGCCATTGCAGGCAAATAGTTGCTGAGAAGTTGAACACATAAAGCCTTTCGAGATGCTGGAGTGTATTTAGTAGTGACCTGTGATGCAGTGGGAGATAGGTCTCAGTAGTTCTACAGGCAGAGGTCTAGGGCTGTTTTCAAGGTTGGTTGTGATGGTTTAGGTGCAGCCAATTGCAAAAGGAGTTGAAGGAGTGTAGATGTGTTGAGATGTATTTTTTTTTTAAAGTTGCCTTTTTTTTTTTAAAACATCCCAAGTATCACTCCTGTAATCGTGGTGATTCTACTGTTCTCTCTGTTCTGGTTTTCTGAATGATACGGATCTCACAGAAACAATAGTACAAACGCTTCAGACTTGCATTGTTTTGTTTAATTATCTGAGGTGGAATTGTTAAACACCATTCCCCAAAATGGAAACGTCTCCATAAGAGAAGGGCATTAACTCCCTTTTCTGATGGTCATGTTTGTGGTAAGAATTACAGATGGATAGAATGAATGTATTCCCAGATCTCACAATTGTTTTGTTCAAGTACCTTGCTAGCACACAGAATGCTTTAAGAACATATGTAGTTCTACTGAACTGGGGTGCAAAGCAGTAAGCATGCAGATCTCATACCTGTGTGTTTGTGGAATTTTTTTTTTTAATTTAGGCAGCTGAAATAACTGCAGCTCTATGAATCAAGCAGAAAAAAAAAAATCAAGCAGGAGGGGTTAGAAGCAATACAATGGAGAAAGACTGAATGAGCACTGTGCAGAGCTGGGTCTTTAGCGGCTCCATTTTATAGAAATAATAGCAAAAAAAACCAGGGACAGGAAGAAGTGACTGTAGAGAAGCACCTTCTCCAGAACTGGCAAAAATAGGTCCCGCTTCTGCGGCTGCCAGTGGGGCTTGGCTGGCTGCCCCGTTTCCTGGGCCTTCTTGGGAAGGTTCAGCGGTTGGGCGCCTGCCTTGGCGAGGTGTTTCGTGGTCTGGTTGGTCACGGCTCTCCTCGCCAGCCCGGTGTGCGCGTCTGCGAAGAGCCAATAGCACGTGTCAGTACCGGGGGGCTGGTGAGCGACTGCCGCGACAGATGCTGTCGGGTCGCCCTGAGGACGCCCACCCTTGCTCAAAGGAACCTGCAGTAAAGTGCAGGTAACCGACCTATTTGTTTAAGAGGTTTTGGGTTGCTTTACCTTGCTGGAAGCTTCCAAGAACCTTGTCTAAGCGTAGGGATTTGTGCTGCTGGTGCAACAGGAAGAAGGTGTCTAATGCAGCCATGATCATGAGCAGGAAGGTGCCCAAGAAGAATACCACTGCAGAACAATACGAAAACAAAGCAAGCCCTTGCTATGTGGCATCGTTCTCTTGAACGTAATCCTGTCTGCTTTCCGTTGCCTGGTAGGGAAGGGAGGAAATTTCTGACTCCGGCAAGCTGATAAAGCTTAGCTGTTCATGACTTCAATGTTCATGAACCTGTCCATAAATGCCCGAAGACCTCCCTTAGAGTTGTCACCTGTGTAAAAATCGGTTACTTTTTATACAATAAAGATGGGTACCTATTATGGGTGGTTTGTTGGAGGAAGTTGGGAGCATGTTGTTGAGGATCACAGCTAACATGGAGCTGCCAAGGATGATGGCAACCTGGAAATTGATTTTCTCCTCGAGAGAGCTGGGTCCAAACAACACAGCCATATCCAGCAGATACAGGGCGCATGTCGGGAGGATCAGGTTCAAAATATACAGAGTGGGTCGTCTCTCCATGGAAATCTGTTGAAGAAGATGGGCAAAATTTAGGTGAGCAGGAGATAACTTACTGTGTTGGGCAAATGTTTGTTCCCTAATGTAGAAAATTATCTCGTTTCATACTTTTTTTTTTGGTGGCCAATCAGTGCAATATAATATGAAAGTACTGCCGTACCACGTAAGTGACCACAGAAAATTCTCCATCATCCAGCTTTTCTATGTATTCAATGATGCTCAGGTTGGTGAACTTCCATTCTCCATCAGTTAGGAAGTAACTCTGGCTGTCTTTCATCATCTCAGCTGGTGTCCGTCTCGTCTTCATGACAAGGTCTGTTACTGCTTGGGCAGGAGGCAGAAGAGGAGAGAAGTTGCAGAATTTAGGTATTCATTAGAGGTCAGTTATTTCCTCTCCCTTTCCTTTCCGACCAAGGCTGCATGCAGATGGGGAAAGGCAACGTTTCTCACGCTGCTGAGGTTTCTTAGCCCATCAGGGAGAAATTAAAAAGGACTCTGGTGAAGAGACCTGATGGACCTCTGGGAATGTGGATCAGAGGGGAAATGTCTGGTGAATTAGGACAGTTGTCCTTTGCAGATGGGAACTGGACGGTTTTGTGTCACCTCTGCTTATGTTTCAACCCTTCCTCTTGGGATGAAGTCTGACTGCAGTTTGGATCCCTGAAACTGTCCTTAATTTCCTCTTGTTTCCATAGCTTTCAGGTATGTTTCAAGATCAGTCCTGCAAAATCATATGTGAACAAGTGGCTTTGTTGGAGGAAGCCTGCTAGTCTCTTGGTTTGTAAAGACCAGTCCTGGCAGGGGACTTGCCACAGAACATCCAGATGCTTCCAGAGATGTTACTGGGAAACATGCCAAAACAGAATGACAGTGTTTTAGCTCATTTTCCCTGGTGTTAGATGACCTCAACCCCACTAACCGAGCGTGAGCGTGTGGTGCTGCTAAGGGAACCCAGGAGTTAGCCAGGGTCCATCTCATCTATTCCTCCTCCTGCAAATTTAGCCTAGCTGTGGCAAAACTCAGCTTGCTGCTGTACCTGGGTAGAGAAATGAAGCTATGCTCAAGTTGCACATCTGGGTGTCAAAGGGAAACTTGAGGATCATCAAGCTGCACGTTAAGGTAACCTGGAAGGGCTGGGTAGAGCTGAAGCTGCCGTTGTGCATGACGGCCATATAATCCAAGTTTGAGTTTTGTCCGTTCACTCTGGAGGAAACAAAGGTGGAGAGTGACTGAGCTCCAAGATGCTGCAGTGCTCCTCAGTCCCAGAAAAGCCTGAGCTGTAAGCATCCTTTCGGAGGGGCTCTGTGCCGTCACCCAACCACGGGATGTGGCAGTGAGGAGAAGAAACCTGGAGCTTGAAGAAGGGCTGGTGAGTGCCTCTGGACTAAGGTTTGTAGGAGCTCTGCACCTCCTAAGGAAACTTATTCCTCTCTCCCCTCTGCCTCCCACTCGCGCCCGGGGCAGGGGCTCGTCGCTGGCTCC